GGTCATATGAGGTCATGCACAGCCATGCACAGCAGGTCATCTGACCATCCAATCCTTCCAGCAGGTTCCAGCACATGCCAAGGTATACCAGCTACTTCCGTGTCATAAAGGCTTAGTCATGTCTCTTGACCAAGCAATGAGCTGGTGCCCTGACAGGTACCTATACTGTAGATAGGTCTTAGTCATCAGGTCTACTCCACTTCCTTGTTGCCTGCTCAGACTCTTGGCACTCTTAGGTGAGCAGACTTAGTCAGCCTGTGTTGCCCTAACAAGAAGCATGCCAAAAGCTTGGCACAGAGCTTATGCAATGACTGTTTCAGCAGTTGGGAACCCAGTGCAGTCCAATTATCTGGGCTGTGTGGACTAGATATGGACTGTATGCATATGCTGCTGATATTCTGGCACAAACCACAGATTGCTCAAGCTGTCTTCTTTAGGTCATACCTTGATGATCTGTCAACCAAAACAGACACTTAACTTTCAAATTCTGATCTCTCCATTATAGTCCAGGTTGTTGGTTTACAACATTCCCTCTAATACCAGGGCAGGATGTCAACAGTGCTGCCTTGGCCAACTTCTCTTATCCTCCTAATTGTCATTGTTTGGATGTTAGATGTTCTATGCTGAATCTGCAGTGGAGGCAATGCTGTACTAGACCCCATGCAGCTGGCATTTGACTTCTTTCCCTTGAGGAGACCTAATCTGGGCTGATTTCTGCAGGGAGTTCACCCACTGCCTTTTCCAATTTTCTTCATTTCTGCATCTGCAACTGCTTAACTGCAAGCATCAATGAATAGATACTTTCGAACTGCATCCAGTATAGACAATGCAATACCCTCTATTCAATTTGCCCTTAACCCCTTGGCATCCCTTGAAGCCTTTCCCCACGTGTCTGCACAACCCAATTCAAGGACAAAAACAGCAAGAACTCTCATCCGGCCCTCTGACTGGACAATAAGAAGCAGTCCACGCATTTGGACATCAAATGGTAAAAGTCCACAACCACCCATGTCATCCCACCTCCTGTCCGAATTGGGCAGCAAATCTTCAGGAATTTCCTCTTCTCGCGCTCTCCACCTGCTATTTCCTGCCAAGCGGCATCCCTCCGCCTCTCTAGCACTGAAGACGCAAGAAGATGGCGTGTGCGAGTTCTGGGCCGTCATCCCCGTTGCGTATCCTATTCCGAGCGATGTGCGTACCCTTGCTTCAAGGAAAAGTGGATTGCTGACAGAGTTGCTGTTGCAGGGCCCGGTTGGAAGCCTCCTTCGCAGCTTGCACACATCATGGCCATCTACACTGCCTATGTTCCTGTCTGCCGGAGACGACCCCATTGTAGGACTGCGGCCGGGCATACCTTGCAATGCAGAACTGTTCCAAACCCGAACGAGACTGGACACCTTCCCGTAGCTTCCAGATACGTAGATTACTATAAATTTGTCAGGCGGAAGCAGTTAGGCAAGGCGGAGGCTGATTTAGAAAAACCCCGATGAAACCGTAACTGGCACACATGGTTCCAGAAGCCTTTCCAAATCTGGGGAGGGTGTGCCTGTCCGTCACGTGTGTCCGCTCTAACCCCGCTCTGAGGGTGCGACTCTCGACCTTCTCATCTTTGATTGCCACCACTCGACTTTCTTTCTCCCTGCCAGCAGACGACCCCCAGTACGCAACCTCCTGGCTGCCTGGAGAAGGTTTTCGAAGCCCTTGTCAACATCCCCAGGGCGGTTGGGAAGCGGATTAAGTAGAGTAGGGTGATGAACGTCATGTAAGGATATGATTTCGACGCAGCGTCAGAGTCCAGGTAAACATCCGTGAGCGTTTTGGTAGGGCGCGCGCCATCTGAAAAGGCCCCCCCTTCCCAGATGTCGAATCTGGAAAGGAAACTAGAAAGCTATCGGAGTTTCAAACATGCTTCTGAGAAGCGCCGGAAGCAACCGGCCCGGTTTAGGAAATGGTAATCTAGTATCTGGAAGCTACGGGAAGGCGTCCACTGAACCGGACTGCGACCATCCCTAATCGGGACCTGTCCCGAGGTCATAACAACGACGTATGAAATGCTGTGACTACTGGATGGGGTGAACGTATCTCACCTTACCACTCCAGCACCAACCTCCCGGGATAATCTCAAACGCCGCTTCTAGACCGGCCTATATTGATTAACTGAAGTATCTGGAGCATGGCGACGTTTGCCATGGCATGGGCGACAAGCACAGCTATCCGTCTACGGGTATGTGCCAGCGGACGGATAAATCTATTCCTGGGGTGGGCTGTTGCCATGTCAACTCGGGGTCATGGGAACCGATCGCGTGTGAGGGGAGAGTCGTCTGGTCTAGCTATATCCTGCGCTCAATTGAAAGTGGACTGCACTTTTCATCATGTCCCACTGAAACATGATTCATGGCATGGCCGATGCATGTCTATGCTAAATGCAACACAGGTATTTACAGACAATAGAAAAACCCTTTCAGGCCAGTGGTCAGCGCCTCAGGATTCCTCTTTACTT